AAAATATACAAGCAACACCTGCAGCTCAATTCCAGAAAAATAAAAGACCCACTCAAAAAGTGGGCCAAAGAACTAAACAGGCGTTTCTCCAGTGAAGACATACAGATGGCTAACAAACACATGAAAAGATGCTCAACATCACTCATTATCAGAGAAATGCAAATCAAAACCACAATGAGGCACCATTTCACGCCAGTCACAATGGCAGCTGTCCAAAAGTGTACAAGCAAGAAATGCTGGAGAGGGTGTGCAGAAAAGGGAACCCTCTTCCACTGTTGGTGGGAATGCAAACTAGTGCAGGCACTATGGAGAACTGTGTGGAGATTCCTTAAAAAACTGGAAATAGAACTACCATATGACCAAGCAATCCTGCTGCTGGGCATACGCACTGAGGAAACCAGAATTGAAAGAGACATGTGTACCCCAATATTCACCGCAACACTGTTTTAATAGCCAGGACATGGAAATAACCTAGATGTCCATCAGCAGACGAATGGATAAGAAAGCTGTGGTACATAGTCACAATGGAGTATTGCTCAAATATTAAAAGGAACACATTTGAATCAGTTCTAGTGAGGTGGATGAAACTGGAGCCTGTTATACAGAGTGAAGTAAGCCTGAAAGAAAAACACCAATACAGTACACTAATGCATATATATGGAATTTAGAAAGATGGTAACGGTAACCCTGTATGCGAGACAGCAAAATAGGCACAGAGGTATTGAATAGTCTTTTGGACTCTGTGGGAGAGGGCGAGGGCGGGATGATATGGGAGAATGGCATTGAAACATGTTACTTATCATATGTGAAATGAATCGCCAGTCCAGGTCTGATGCATGATACGGGATGCTCGGGGCTGGTGCACTGGGATGGGGAGGGAGGTGGGAGGGGTTTCAGGATGGGGAACACATGTACACCCATGGCGGATTCAAGTCAATGTATGGCAAAACCAAGAAAATGTTGTAAAGTAAAATTAATTAATTAATTAATTAATTAATTTTTTAAAAGGTGAACCATCATTGTAAAAGTCAGGCTGGCAGATAACTCAAGAGGACTAGGGAGGAAGAAGTGACAGGCTTGGAACAAAACGGGGGTTCAAACCTAGAGGTCTGTTCTTCATCTGCATCTGAGCAGTACTTCCCAGGCCTCCAATATTGCACAAGCACAAGGGCACCAAGAACACCACAGTCATTCAAGCACTGGGACAGCCCAGGGACGGGGATAGTCAAGGTGGAAAATATGGCAGCCCCAGTGTGCCCGGGTGGATCTGGCCAATGCAGGTGAGACTTACCTCACATTAAGTCAGCTGAGTAGCAGCCTTTATTGCATCTGCAAGCATAACCAACTGTGACCACGCAAAGGAAAATACAAGCCAACTGCAGGGATTAGGACTTGGACATTTTGGGGCAAGATTACTGTGCTCACCGCTCGAGGTTCCCTCTTCAGGACTCACCTACTCTACCTTCTTTGCTTGTGCCAATCTCCTTCAAGAGTGCAGAGAGAGAGGTAGACCTGGGGCTGGTGCTGGTGGGGTGTGGGTGTGATGGGGAGGGAGCATCTTCCCAGGCGTTGGACAGGCAGCAGAATCAGGCAGGATGGGGCCTAGGGATCTCCAAAGCAGCTGTCACTGTCTCCCAGGCTGGAGAAGGGGCATGAGGGGGAAAGGCAACAGGGGTGCACTGAATGAGGCCGAGCTTCTACGTTACTCCTACCCCCCGGGGCCCAGATGCATTTCTTTAACCTATGCCTCAGGCCCTGCCACGGATTTCCCACTGGAAGTAGAACGCTTGGGGCTGAGCCAAGGCCTGTGATGTCTATGTTTCCAGCAACATTATAGTGAGGTAGTTGGTCTGAACTGTGTGCTCAGAGGAGGGAAGGGAGCCTGGTAAAAAGTGAACGAGGGGTTGTGTTCACACCCTTACACCTCCACTTCCATGAGCTTCTCCACTTCCTCACCCTGGTGACCACAGTCCGGGGCCCCTCTCTCCTCAAGGGTGGTGCTGATGCAGGTGCTGGTCTTCTCCCCGGGCACAACTTACCTACATGTCTCGGTGGGCAGAGACCTCAGCCAGAAGGTCTCTGGCAAATTTACTCACTCAGACAACAGTGAGATGGGCTACGCCACCAGGCGATAATCACTGGATCAGCTGTAGACTAAGTGATCAAGCCCACCTGCTCCGGGGAGGGGACTGAGTGGAAGGAGTAAGTCCTACGCATGTTCTTTTTTGACCCTGAGGTCTCTGATGGTTCCAACCCACACGTAGTCTGTCCACCTGGCCTCATGCCAAGAGGCCTGGAAGGGAATGAACGTGAGAATATGGGGGAAGTGCTCCCCATTGTCCAGGTGCAGTCACTCCTAACTTCGCTTCCTCAGGGCACCCTTCTTGCCCCTGCCTCGGGTAAGTCATGTTGGGCGATCTCCTATTTCTAAGATGAGCAGCAGTATCCCTGGTGCTCGCCAGAGCCACTCTTCCCATTTTCATTCATCCACACCCTCAGCAGTTAGCAGATATCACAGAATGGCAAGGTAGGATCCAGAGCCTCCTCTAGCGAATCCAACTCTGTGACAGAGTCCCAACACCCTGTCCTGAAGCTTGGTGACCCCTGCATCATCCCCCTCCTACGTTTTGGGAATGTGAAAACGCCCCTTGAATATTGGAGATCTGACCCTTGCTTCGGCTCACTCAGTGCCTTACAGAATCTGGACCAGCCTCTACTTACTTCTCTCCCCGAATCACATCCTTATGCCTCAAGGGCATTATCCTTGCTGACTTTTATTCACACAGAGAGATGTCCAGGCACCAACTCTGAATGTGTTACCTACCATCATACCCCCTTCTGTGTAATAAAACCCTGGTCTTTCAGGAATGGTGTCAGGCAGAACCTAACCTCAGTTCACACCAACACAGATCTGTCTCTCTGAGTCTCAGGCTGGCACAGGCCTGGAGTGCTGGCTGAGGGAAAGGAATTTGAGTGCCCCCCAAATTCCAGCGAGGGGGAAATTGAACACAGAGTTCAGACTCATTGTCATGTGCCCTAAAGAAGTAGTCTGGGATACTGAGCTGGGATACTCTGGGAGATATCATTTGTTGGAAGATCTGTGTCATGGGTCTGGTGGAACAGTATTTGACAGGGACCCTGCAAGAACACAGACCTACTAACCACACTTGCCATAGAGCATGATGGGCCCATTTCCACTCAAGAGTATAGACAGGCTCAGGCTGGAGGCGAAGGTGGTCAGCTGGCTAGGGCAGGGAGGATGTGAAACACAAAGGACTCCACCATCCATCTCTAGCTGCCAGGGTGCAGTCTGACCCAGGGTGCCAGCAAACCGATGCACCTCCTGACCTCCAGCCCAGAGACTAGCCTGTCTCCTGTGTTCCCTGTACCTTCCCTCCTGCTCCCCAGCTCATTGGGTCCAGGCTTCATGCCCAACCACTTTACTGAATCCAGAGAAGGAGAAGCGAAACTATTGGGGCCTGAGTCTCAGGGATGCGGGCTGAAGAGGAGACGAGGACTGTGTGCAGGTTCCAGCGTGCAAGGTGGGACTGGGGCAGGGGTGGAGATGGTACAGGCAGTAGGGACTCCAATGAGAGGGCAGAGCTTGGGAAGGGAGAGATGAGGGCACCTGTGCCTGTTTCCACCTGCTGAACTACACATGCACGCAAGGTCACCAATGGCAAGTCAGGGGAGGGACCAAGGGTGCTCCAACAGGAAAAGAGAGTGGTCAGTGTAAGTAGAAAAATGCTTCCAGAGCGGCTGGGAGGATGGGTTGGAGCTCTGTAAGGGGGTCAAGAGTTTCTTCCAATGGGGAGGCAGAATGTCAGCAATGGATGGGAACCGGCAAATCCCAGAGGCGGGTGTTTAGAGAACTAGAAGAGCGCTTTTAGGGGACTGGGAGGATGTGCCAATGTGGCCAGACAAGGCCCTCAGTGAACCCAGACCGGGGTCACTCCCTTGCCCTGCTGGCCCGGATGGTAGCAGAGGCTGACCCAGAGTCCCCAACACAGGATGCCAGAGGTAATGCTCTGCAACAGGCTCTAATATGGAGTGGTTCTCCACCAGGCCTTGCCCCACTCCACCAACCCCTACACCCCCAGAGAGAGGGCAGAACACAGAATATGAGAAGTCCTTTAATCAAAAACTGCTGTGAGACTGGGGCAGAGCGGGGGAAAACAAGGGGCAGAGGATGCCCTGGCGGAGGCAGAACAAGAGGCAACAAGCCTGGCCGCAGCTCGCCAGCCCCAGAGGTAGCAGCTGCTCCTCTTGCAGGAAGATACTGGGCTCAACCTGTAGAACAGCAGAGTCAGGGAAGAGCCTCTGGCCAGGGCCAGCCCACAGCCCTGGTCAACAGCCAACGGTGTGGGAAGAGGTATGCAGTGTGTAACACTCACTTCAAATGATCTGGAACTTGTCAGCCAGGGTACGACTTGGAGGCTGCGACAGGGAGAGGCATAAACAGGTGCTCCAGACAGATGGACATAGACGCCTGAACCCCTGTCCCCGTGGGGAACCACCTAGCCCTGCAACCTGAAACCCACATACCCCCAGCCCCGATGCAAAGAGCTCTGGGCCTGATCACTCCCCACTACCAGAATTAAATGTGGAGCCATTTCCTAAAAGGAAACAAAATGTGCCAGCAGCTCTCAAGCTCGGGGCCACGCCTGAACCTTTCCAAAATTGTCTCACAAACAATCCAACAAGACCCTTAGAGGCCAAACCAGACCAACAAGGCATCTCTACAAGTCCTATCAGAAGGAGCTCTCTAGGACTCATCTGGCCGGCAGAGTGTGCATGCAGTCCACACAGTACTTTGCTACTTGTCCGCACGCCCGGCTGAATATGCACCACACGCTCCAGGGACAGGCTTCATAGGTTCTCCTCCCCACAGGAATGCTGATCGCTACGAGGCCCCCTGCACCTGCAGCCCACCCCACCCCACGGGCCCACCCCGATTCTGCACTAAGAACCCGCTTCTCTCTGTCCCTGGTTCCTCATACCAAGTTGCTCCTTAAGGTCATCTATTTCTCTCTGTAGCACCAGACACTAGGCCAGCAGACACAGGAGGAAGAGAAATGGTTAGTATACACCCGCCTCCCCTCTCCTCCTCCTCTCCTCTCCCCCGGGCCCTCCATCCCAAAGCCAGGTGTCTACACTGGCAAGCAAAAGACTTTCCTCCGTGGAAAGCTGGTGGGCTCCCTCCCTGCGGTGCAGGATGGGATGGGGGTGGGGGGCCCACACATGTCAGTTGCACTTGGACCCAGATCCCACCATGGGGCTTGGGTGTGTATTTCCAGGAGCCAGAAGAAGCATTACCCGAGGACAGCCCTGCCGTCCGCGTGGCTGCTGCTGCCTTTTCGGTCTTGGGGGATGGTCACTTGGTTTCTGGCCACCTGACAGGGAAAGGACACACAATCCAGCTTCCCAGGTACCCAGTGAGGTGGAAAGGCCCAGGCCGGGTCTAACGTGAGGTGAGGCAGTACCACCCTCTGCCTAGCATTAGGCCTCCCCTGATCTGCCCGGCAGGCAGCTGAAACCTTCTCTCTGGGCCTGCCCCTCTTATTCCTCAGGGGCAGCCATTTCACCACGATGATCGCCAAAGACTGTAGTTCTGGGTTCGAGCCTCCCAGAGCGGCAGCCACAGCCAGCACCTGGGAGAGCAATGTGGGCGAGCAGCACTTCACAGAAAAGGCTATTAGCGTGCAGGTCTATGCCCAGAGTAGCTGTTGGGGCACTGCCACTGATCACCCCTGCCAAACAAATCCCACGTAGAAGGTGATGGGGCCAGGTCCAGCCCTGGTGACACCCTGTTTCTCATGGGAGAAGCGGCCTGACAGCAAGGCTGAGCCCCCAGATGAGAGAGAGAGAGTCAGAGACAGAGGTTTCTGCCCTCGCCGCTGGCCTCCTCCCCCCATATCAAAACCCAGGACACTCACCTGAGGGGCCAGGCCCTCGGGGCCTGACTTCTCCCTTCTTCATGGCCACGGGCTCTGAGTTTCCTGAAGCCTGTGTGCCTCGGTTGTTGAGGTTGGTGCTGCTGGGTTCTCCATGATGCACCCATGGACAAGATGGCCCTGGCCTGTCAGTGGTCAGCTAAAAACAAAGATTTCTCACTGATCTGGAGTAAGGATGTGTGTGTGCATGCGCATGTGGGTACCAGTGCATTGATAATCTATGCCTGTGTGTGTGAGAGCTCATGTGAATCAAGACGGAGCTGAGGCAGGGAATTGGAAAGAGAATTGAAAGGCTGATCTCTTCAGCACATTCTCTGTCAGTCAGCCCCAGGCCAGCAGGCTGACCTGAGCTGGGGACAGCAGTGTGGCACTGAGAAAGCCTGGGGCCCCTTCAAGGAAGTTTTGGGGAAGAGCTAGGAAGTAGGATTCAGGAAAGTGATGCGTCTAAACACCGAAGCCCTGTGAAGCTTTTAAGGGGTCCCCTCAAATCAATTCAGCTACCAGCTCTCCCTTCCACTCCAGCGGCAGCCTGGTGGAGGAGGCTGGAAACAGGCCAAGGGTGGAGAACGGAGTCCAGCACACCCAAAGTGCTACCTTATCGTTTGTCCCTAGTGAAAGGACCCCCAATCTGGCATCCTAATGACCCAGCGACCGAGGGCCACCCAATGACGACCCCTGAGGGATGGAGAGACGAGCAAGGGACGAAGACCTGTGCCCTGGGGAGGGTGGGAGGGGGAAGAGTGGGGAGAGAGGAGGGGCCTGGCCTACTCACTTGGCCCTTTGGGAATGGATCTCTATTTGGGTCCTTCTCTTCTCCCGACACCGCCATTGCTGCCACCGACCCCCGGGCACACCTAGCCACGGGTTTCTTCCCAGCGCCAGTGTGCTTGGACTCTTCGGCTCCCCAAAGGACCAAGGCATACTTCTTGGACTTCCCGAGCAGCGGGATGCCGGAGATTGGGGGGAAGGTGGCCGGTTCCAGGGGAGTGGCCGAGATTCCCTGCCCCCAGGAAGGGAAGGTTCTCCCCACGGCAGGTTTGGAGACGCCCCCAAGGGATTTCTTCTCTTGGACCCCCTTCCTCCTAGGAGTGGGCCACGGCCCGCTGCCTGTAGCGGCAGCTGCAGGAGCTGATGCTACTCTCGGGGAGCTGGGCAGGCTGCCCCCTTTCCCCCAGGGCACACTCTGCATTTTCTTAGTGGGAGAGGCATCCTCCTGCTCTGCATCGCCCTGCCTGCCCTGCTGTTCCACAACCGAAATTAATCCTGGCGGCGCCAAGGACAGGCAAGTGCCTGACACATTAAGGAGATCCTCCCTGCCTTGGATATTCGAGCATCTGGGTGTGTTGCCGGGGTCCTCGGGTCTGTTGAGCTTGGCCTGGCCTCCGTCTTTGGGATAAATGCTCACCCTCATCAGCTCTATCTCACTGAACTCATCAGAGGACTCGGGATCAGACAGCAGCCCCACTGGGCTTTCTGAGGGAGGACACTGGCGATCCACAGCCACGTTCAACCTACTCTTAGTGCCTCTCTTAGCCCTCCTGCAGGCCCGGCCCGCCTTGGGCCCGCCGACCCGGAGAGGGATGGCCTCAGCCTGTGTGGTTTCCCCACACCTCTGGGGGGCACCGCCTCGACTGGGGGGACACGCCTCGAGGTCCCAGAAAGCAGCCACTTCACCAACCGTGTAGCTCTCCTGGAACAGGTATCTGCGGGTGTCCAGCAGGTTCAGGTCGGTCAGCTGCTGCAGGATGGCCGCCACTGACTTGTCAGCCAGCTGCAGGGCGTCCCCCTGGTCGTCAGCCAGGGAGCCAGGCCGGCCTTCGCGGCCCCGCAGCACAGGCCCTCCCGCTTCCAGCACCTCCCGCTCTGACTCGAAGCCCTCAGCGTCTGGGAAGCCATTCCCGCCCTCACCCTCGCCGCTTCGCGGTGCCCCTGGCTCGGGGCCGGGGCCGGGTCCCCGCGGGGCTGTGGAGCCGGCCTCAAGGCCGCTGGTCTGCTCTCCGCACTCTGAGCCGAAACCCGGTCCCGAAACAGACACCTCATCATCTGGGGCGCTCATGTCACGATCTGGGTGGCCGCCGGACCTGGGGCGGCGACGATTTACCAACCGGGTCGCGGTGGCGGCGGTGGTGGCAGCAGTCAGGGCAGGTGAGGCGGGCGGCGTCTGGAAGTCGCTGTCAAGCACGAAGGAGATGGCCGCAAATGACGCGAGGTTTTCAGCGCGCCAGCCCTGCCGCCTCCTCATTGGTCCGGTTCCTGCCAACCAGCACGCGCCTTGTTGGCCGTCCCCTTGAGGTGTAACCAATGGGTTCGAGGGCCTCCTCTGGCTTGCTGCCAAGCCCAAGGGCCATCCCGGCAGTTGGCGAGTTGGCGGGTGAAGGTGATGCTGCGAGTATACCTCTGTCAGACCTCTCGTCCTACCTCCTCCAAGTGCTTAACCATTCCGAGAGTGGGAAAGTTTAGGGGCAAACCTCTGTGGCGGTGGTGCAAGAAATCCATTCGGGAGGTAATTTGGCAGAATCTATGAAAAGCAACTTATACAGCAGAGACCCCGTGGCCCGGCACTCTTCTAAGTGCTGTACGTAAATAGTAGTGCTTCCTTCTTACACTCCCAGGACTATAGTACTAATGATTACCAGCCTAAGGTTCAGCCACTGACCCACGGTCATTTGGCCCATGGGGATCAGTGGTAGAATTGAAGCCAAGCAATCTGACTCGAGAGTCCTTGCTTTGATCCAAAGATCTAAAACAGCTATGTTTTCTCCTCTATCGGGAAGTTCACTGCCAGGCATATCTTCTAAAAGTGAGGGTTTATTTCTAACGTCTCTATTTTACTCCATTGGTCTATTTGTTTATATGGCAGTAACACACAGTTTTCATTAGTGTAGCTTTGTAATGTTTTGAAATCAGGAAGTGTGAGTTCTCTACTTTTTCTTTGTCCAAGTTGTTTTCCCTATTAAGGATCTCTTTAGATTCTACTTAAATTTTAGGACGAGTTTTTCTATTTCTGTAAAGCATGCTATTGGGATTTTGATAGGGTTTGCATTGGATCTGTAGATCACTCTGGGTAGTGTGTTACAAGAACAGATCCAGTGGAGTGAGTGAGTGTGTGTGTGTGTGTGTGTGTGTGTGTGTGTGTGTGTGTGTGTAAAAGAATTGCCTCTTTCAATTATAGCGGCTGGTAAGTCCCAGGGTCTAGAGGGTGAGTTGGCTAGCTGGAGACCCAGAGGAGCCAGTGGTTTAGCTCTAGTCCAGGTTAGAAGGCCTAAGAAGCAAACCAGTAGAGTGGATATTTCAGTTTGGGTCTAAAGGCAGGAAAAGAAGCCAAAGTCCCACGTCCAAAGGCTTTCACACAGGAGGAGTTCTCTTACATGAGGAAAGGTTGCTTTTTTGTTTTAGTCAGACTATCAACTGATTAGGTAAAGCCCACCCACATTATCAGGGGGAAATCTGTTTTATCCAGTTGACTGATTTAAATGTTAATCTCATGGAAAAGCACTCTACAGAAACATCCAGAATAATGTTTGACTAAACATCTAGGCACTCTGTGCACCAGTCAAGCTGACCCACAAAATTAAGCACCTCAGATAGCATGGACTTCTTAACAATATTTAATATTCTGGTCTGTGCAGACAGATGCCTTTCCATTTATTTGTGTCTTTTTTAGTTTCTTTCAGCAATGTTTTGTAGTTTGCAGTGTACAACTTTTTGACTCCTTGCTTGAGTTTATTCGTCATTATTTTATCCTTTTTTGTTGCTAATGTCAATGGAATTGTTTTTTCTTAATTATTCTTTTTTTTTTTAACTTTACAACATTGCATTGGTCTTGCCATACATTGACTTGAATACGCCATGGGTGTACATGTGTTCCCCATCCTGAAGCCCCCTCCCAACTCCCTCCCCATTCCATCTCTCTGGGTCATTCCAGTGCACCAGCCCCGAGCACCCTTAGCATGCATTGATCCTGGACTGGCGATTCATTTCACATATGATAATTTACATGTTTTAATGTCATTCTCCCATTTCATCCCACCCTCGCCCTCTCCCACAGAGTCCAAAAGACTATTCAATACATCTGTGTCTCTCTTGCCGTCTCGCATAAAGGGTTATCATTACCATCTTTCTCAATTCCATATATATGCGTTAGTATACTGTATTGGTGTTTTTCTTTCTGGCTTACTTCACTCTGTATAATAGGCTCCAGGTTCATCCACCTCATTAGAACTGATTCAAATGTATTCTTTTTAATGGCTGAGTAATATTCCATTGTGTCTATGTACCACAGCGTTCTTATCCACTCGTCTGCTGATGGGCATCTAGGTTGCTTCCATGTCTTGGCTATTATAATCAGTGCTGCGATGAGCATTGGGGTACATGTGTCTCTTTCAATTCTGGTTTCCTCAGTGTGTATGCCCAGCAGCGGGATTGCTGGGTCATGTGGCAGTTATATTTCCAGTTTTTTAAGGAATCTCCATGCTGTTCTCCACTGTGGTTGTATCAGTTTGCATTCCCACCAACAGTGGAAGAGGGTTCCCTTTTCTGCACACCCTCTCCAGCATTTATTGCTTGTACACTTTTGGATAGCTGCCATTCTGACTGGTGTGTAATGGTACCTCATTGTGGTTTTGATTTGCACTTCTCTGATAATGAGTGCTGTTGAGCATCTTTTCATGCGTTTGTTAGCCATCTGTATGCCTTCTTTGGAGAAATGTCTGTTTAGATCTTTGGCCCACTTTTTGAGTGGGTCTTTTATTTTTCTGGAATTGCAGGACTTGCTTGTATATTTTTGAGATTCATTCTTTGTCCGTTGCTTCATTTGCTATAATTTTCTCCCATTCTGAAGGTTGTCTTTTCACTTTGCTTATAGTCTCCTTTGTTGTGCAGAAGGTTTTAATTTTAATTAATTCCCATCTGTTTATTCTTGCTTTTATTTCCAATATTCTGTGGGGTGGGTCATAGAGGATCCTGCTGTGGTTTATGTTGGAGAGTGTTTTGCCTGTTTTCCTCTAGGAGTTTTATAGTTTCTGGTCTTACATTTAGATCTTTAATCCATTTTGAGTTTATTTTTGTGTTTGGTGTTAGAAAGTGTTCTAGTTTCATTCTTTTACAAATGGTTGAGCAGTTTCCCAGCACCACTTGTTAAAGAGATTGTCTTTTCTCCATTGTATATTCTTGCCTGCTTTGTCAAAGATAAGGTGTCCATAGGTGTGTGGATTTATCTCTGGGCTTTCTGTTTTGTTCCATTGATCTATATTGCTGTCTTTGTGCCAGTACCTTACTGTCTTGATGACTGTGGCTTTGTAGTAAGAGATTGAAGTCGGGCAGGTTGATTCCTGCAGTTCCATTCTTCTTTCTCAAGATTGCTTTGGCTATTCGAGCCTTTTTGTATTTCCATACAAATTGTGACATTATTTGTTCTAGTTCTCTGAAAAATACCATTGGGAGCTTGATAGGGATTGCATTTAATCTATAGATTGCTATGGATAGTATACTCATTTTCAGTCTATTGATTTTTCCGGTCCATGAGCATGGTATATTCCTCCATCTATTTGTGTCCTCTTTGATTTCTTTCATCAGTGTTCTATAGTTTTCTATATATAGGTCTTTTTCTTCTTTACGTAGAGTTATTCCTAAGTATTTTATTCTTTTCGTTGCAATGGTGAATGGAATTGTTACCTTAATTTCCCGTTCTGTTTTCTCATTGTTAGTGTATAGGAATGCAAGGGATTTCTGTGTGTTAATTTTATATCCTGCAACTTTACTATATTCATTGATTAGCTCTAGTAATTTTCTGGTGGAATCTTTAGGGTTTTCTTTTTTTTTTTGATTTATTTTTATTAGTTGGAGGCTAATTACTTTACAGTATTGTAGTGGTTTTTGTCATACATTGACATGAATCAGCCATGGATTTACATGTATTCCCCATCCTGATCCCACCTCCCACCTCCCTCTCCACCCGATCTATGTAGAGGATCATGTCATCTGCAAACAGTGAGAGTTTTACTTCTTCTTTTCCAGTCTGGATTCCTTTTATTTATTTTTCTGCTCTGATTGCCGTAGCCAAAACTTCCAAAACTATATTGAATAGTAGTGGTGAGAGTGGGCACCCTTGTCTTGTTCCTGACTTGAGGGGAAATGCTTTCACTTTTTCACCTTTGAGGATAACGTTTGCTGAGGGTTTGTCATATATAGCTTTTATTATGTTGAGGTATGGTCCTTCTATGCCTGCTTTCTGGAGTGCTTTTTATCATAAATGGATGTTGAATTTTGTCAAAGGCCTTCTCTGCATCTATTGAGATAATCATACGATTTTTATTTTTCAGTTTGTTAATGTGGTGTATTACATTGATTGATGTGTGGATAATTGATGAATCCTTGCATCCCAGGGATAAAGCCCACTTGGTCATGATGTATGATCTTTTCCATATGTTGTTGGATTCTGTTTGGTAGAATTTTGTTAACGAGTTTTGCATCTATGTTCATCAGTGATATTGGCCTGTAGTTTTCTTCGTTTGTGGTATCTTTGTCAGGTTTCGGAATTAAGGTGATGCTGGCCTCATAAAATGAGTTTGGAAGTTTACCTTCCTCTGAAATTCTCTGGAAGAGTTTAATAGGATAGGTGTTAGCTCGTCTCTAAATTTTTTTGGTAGAATTCAGCTGTGAAGCCGTCGTTCCTGGGCTTTTGTTTGTTGGAAGATTTCTGACTACAGTTTCAATTTCCATGCTTGTGATGGGTCTGTTGAGATTTTCTATTTCTTCCTGGTTCAGTTTTGGAAAGTTGTATTTTTCTAAGAATTTGTCCATTTTTTCCAAGTTGTCCATTTTATTTGCAGATACATGCTGATAATAATCTTATGATCCTTTGCATTTCTGCGTTTTCCGTTGTGATCTCTCCATTTTCATTTCTATTTTTTTGATTTTATTTTGTTGATTTTCTCCCTTTGTTTCTTGATGATTTTGTTTGATTTTGTTGATTTTCTCCCTTTGTTTCTTGGTGAGTCTGGCTAATGGCTTGTCAATTTAATTTACCTTCTCAAAGAACCAGTTTTTGGTTTTGTT